AAACTTTTGCGTACCATCTTGTAGAGCTCTATCGAATGGTATCCTGAATCCCTATTTGAGCTGTATGACTTATCGCCATAAGTGAGAGTGTCTCAAGACTTTTGTTACAACCTAATAGATTGAAGATACTAGGAAATGTGCCATCGAATGGTATGCATTCAAGCTCCAGTCTATAAAATTCGCAGACTTACGAGTGTACGAAAACACGTCCTCATGCATTTTGCCCAATATGTAAAGATCGCTTACTTTGCCAAAATTCCACCTTGTATGGTTATGACAGTCTGATTGCAATTATCATGTTCACTTTGCCCAAGGAATCATACTTTACTGAATGTTGTAATTGCCAGGGTCAAGCAAGGGGTGTGGCACACGATCGCTGGTTACGACCCCCCCCCCTGCTTGCTGTCTTAATAAGACCCCCCTGGACTATACCCTTAAGATAGCATTACTTGGAGGCCCTGTCAAACATAATGGGCAACATATCCATAATGAGCATGTCAATTAACCCCTTTAGGCAAAGTTTGAGCGAATTCTGAAGATTCAAGATACTAGGCTACCTAAGTGAAATGGTCAAATTCCAACATGGTTAACTTTGTTTCAAAGGTGAATTAGCTATCCGTTTTCGCACTCAAGACAAAGCACTACTCCTTCTTTGTCCATTTCAGGAATCCCGCTTCAGAAGACCTACAAACTGTGGAATTAGAAGCCAACCAAAATCTCATTTTTCCCATTTTTCGCTTTTGATCGCTGTGCTTTCACCAAATATTACTCAGAGCTAAGAAGACGAATCAGGCTCAAATCACTCATGTGAAAACTAGGTGATCTAGGCTATCGATCCATATAGATACTGTCCTCTAAAAATGTTTTTTTGATATAGTTAATGGCCTGCGGCACCCCCTCCCCCCCCCCCCTCAAAACCTGCGGCCGCGCTAGTAACTTTAACCTTCATAAGCAAGCAGGCAAGTTTCCTGACAAACACGCGAGGGGTGCAGGCGAAGTTACGAGCTTTCGTGACTCCGTTACAGCTACCTCACCATATCTCTGCAAAAACACCCTATACTTGACAGAGACTACGATTTTCATGAACAGCGTGTTTGACAACCTCTATAAGCGGACTTTCCTTTCAAACCAAGATCATCAACATTTCGAATAAAACACATTGGCGAGCTTTAGAGGGAGAACGAGAAGAAATCAAATAACCCGAAGTTCTCTGAAAACTTGCTCATAGGGGTTATCCGACTTGCTGATTACAAAATTCATGTCTGCTTAGCAAGATAGCTTCGTATTCTACGGTTATGACGAGTAGAATTTGGGACAACAATTTTTTTCCACAATTTACGAGCCCTTCTTTCTCCATTGTGAAGACGCCTGTGGCTACTTTTTAGCGGACGTATGACTTTATGAACGATAGCATGTGCCAGCCGCCAGCTGGGTACCGTACGCGGTGCGCTAATCGCTCCGCCCCCTTGTTAATTAGCCTAGGAATGCGTTGCAATCATTGGAAAATCTCTAATATTTCGTTCTTGCTTCTTCAGTTGGTTGCAATTTGGATAAAAGTAGATTTCAAAATTTCAATTGAATTGAAAATCAGTTTTCAGATCTTTCTTCCTTATAAATTTATTCGCAAGCTCTTTTCAATGTATTTCAGTTATTTGTTCCTGGTAGGTCTGTCCAAATCGAGTGTTTATAGTAAGTATGAGAAAATTATTTCATGCTTGGAAAAGTGTTTTTCTTTATTCACATCTGTTACTATATTGAATATTCTTTTGTGCACCCACAAGTTTAAATCAAAAATAAGTCAGCTTATTGAGAAATATTATTATCATTGCTGAAATGATCAAAACGATTATCTCTTTTATCGGAAAAGTAAGTTTTGAAACCCTAACCATAGCTGAAACCAGATTTCACTGCGACGAGAATCCAAAACAAGCATTATAGGCGAATTTTGTTTTAAGCAAACTAATTTCGATAAATTGTGTACATCGTTACATTTGATAAGTTTCGCACAATCAGATATCACTCGTTTTGCAAATATATGCGGTCACATATATCACACAAACTTCAGATTTCAGAAAAAGGAAAATCACCTTCAGATTTCAGAAAAAGGAAAATCACAGTGCACTTACATTTTTCCGAATCTGCTTTAGATAACAAAATTCTTTTGTTTGCTTTCAAAAACTGTTACCCTCAGTATAAACTGATCTGTAACTCAATCGAAATTGCTTGTGAACTAGTCGTAAGGTGTGAGGTCACTCAGACAATCATGCCTGAGGTGTTCTAGATTGATTTCACACTTCAAAGTTGGATACCCATGAGTCACTCGGTCATTCATAGGTAAATCAGCAAATCTCTTGAATTTCACGATCAACACATTAGCTGTTCATGACTGGCAAAAAAGAAACAAGAAAGCAAAACAAAATTGAGTAAATAGTCAAGCTTCACCCCAGCTTGCAACAAGCTTATAACTCACTATCAGAAGTTGCTTTCCTTGATTAGGGAACATGGCCCTGAACCAGTGCTAGAGCTGTACTGCAAAGAACTCGTCCATCTTGCGATAGGCGGGACTAACGGTGCGCACCTTATTGACACACGCCTGCCTAAGCGCGGGCTATCGTTCATAAAGTCGGCCACCCCTTTTTAGCGCTTCATAATCTACAGAATAAGTATCGAATGGTTCTTGCTGGAATTTGATCGGAACAATGCTCGCTGCTTTACACCTTCGCGAAGAGACGTCCGCAGAAAGAGTCAAGAATACTGAAATCCAAATATCAAGGGCATGCTGTATATCAGAAGATTCGCCTTAATGAGCTGAGCACAGCCTGTTTTCGGATTCAAAATATACTTTTTCCGAAGGAAGTTACGGCGAGTAGAATTTAAAAACGCGTGTTTTTTCCAGAATTAACCAACGCTTCCAGCTCCTTGGGAAAGAAGTCTGAGCCTATTTTTCAGCTTACAACAATTTACAAGAACAGTATTATCGAATAGTACTCAGTGGAATCTTCTATGCTGGATAGGCGCTGCTCCACATATTCGCGAAAGGACGTCCGCAGAAGAATTTGAGAAAACTGGAGACGGAATATCGAAGACATGCTGTACATCAAAAGATTTGTCTCGACGATCTGAACACAGTGCTTCTCCCGGATTTAGATTATATTTGTTCCGAAGGAAGTTATGGCGTTGCGTATTCCGCGTGATTCCCATGACTCCGCGAATCCTGGAATGCCGCGAACTTCCCGGATTATCGCGGACTCTGGCGGAAATCAGAATTCCGCTAAGTTCACGGAAATTCTGCACATTCTGTGAGCGGTATCGTGATCTTGAGCAGACTTTAAAACAAATTCGATCAGAGTGACTCTCTACGATACTCCTACAGCATACTTTCTATGTGTCATCAACAGATAACAATGGCAATACTGTTATGAGCACACTGAACAATTCAACCAAACAAAAATCTGCAAAATTGAGCGAAAAACTTACTGTTTAACTATACATATCATACCCTGCTAGGTTGTGTTACTCCTATACACTACATGATGCGCCTCGCCGAGCTGAATCGAACGGTGTCCTCGGATGAATTCGTCCATTCTGAAGCGAGATATGACGATGCGACGCGGATTCCGACGGACTCTAGTGATGTGCGGCGCACTCTACCGCACTCCGCCGCACTGCAGCGCACTTCGGCGGACTGTAGTGCAGTGCGGCCCACTCCGCTGCACTCCAGTAGACTGCGTCGCACTCCGGCGCACTGCAGCGCATTCCGGCGGAGTGCGCCGCAGTCTGGCGACTTTTTTGACGAATTATGAGCGGTACTGTATGTTTTAAGTTTTTATCGTAATCCTACAGCAATGAAGAGAGACGGGTGATTCGTTCTATGCAAATCTAAGTTGAAGAACTCTACAAAACGGTACTTGAAGCAAGGCAAAAGACTTGTTGGAAAGAAAAAATTGTTGGAGAGTAACATTTGTTGTTTTGTTTTGTGTTGTTATTGGCCTGTAATCTCTACGATCTATAGGTATTGTATACCTATGCACGGGATCTGAGCGCTATATAAGGCGCTCCCTGCTAGCTAAGTCATTCGTCTCGTCTTATCATCTGTTTTGTTCATATCCGGTCTACTAACAAATTTACTATTCTACAATTGTCCCGGACCCATTAAAAGTACAATTACAAGTACAAGTAGAAGTCTACAACGATCAAACAGTATTTTCTGTACTTTCTTGACTGTATTTTCTGAAATCATCCAGACAGAGTTATCGGCACCTCAATATGGTCAGTCCGTGCGATCATTTTCTAACCCATAAATCCCTATTGAAGGAGGCAATCGCCAAAGCTTCGCTCATTTCCGTAAGCGCAATGCTAGTATAGCTCAATAGCTGTTTTTGCAATAACATCCAGCCGTTCAGTATGCAGGAAATTGGAAAATTCTATATCTGGGGTTTTGAGGCATATTGAAAAAATGTTGAAACTGATTTTGGTTTTTTTCCCCTTCAAAAAATCCTTCTCCAGACCCTTTTCATGTATTTTGTAGCACAGGCTTGCGGCTACAAGATAGACCCACTATCATTCCTATTAACAAATTTTGAAGGAACTTATGAACTGTCAAAAACAAGGTTCAGAAGAAACCTTTTTTGTCTTTTAGTTTTTCTTCCCTCTTATGGTGTGAGTATAAATAAATATGCGCTATACTGCTGAAGGTTTGCTGCTTCCGATGGTCTTATCGGACTCAGAGATGTAAATTTTTACAAAGTTATTACACGTCAAGTGAGAATTCGCAAAACGGCCAATATTTTTGCATCAACCTAATACACATTTTTCTAGTTGATTGTAAAAGTAACTGTGAGAGGTCTATGTGGAAGCGCATTCATATTACATTATAGTGCGTAATTTAGCCTCGCAGAACGAGCAATTTGCTCACAACAGAAATGATCGTGCATCTTCATTATTGAGACGCAAGTGGAAACAGAACAAAAAACCTTTCAACTTGTCTTTCAAGGTCAGCAAAAGCTTTGCACGATTTTGATGAGCGATACTGAGTAGAATTTTATCAATATCCAACAACCTTTTATCAACATATCAGCGAAGAAGACAAAAGAACGAAAACTGCGAATGGAACGTCTGTCAAGATGTATATTCTAGCACTGCGGGGCAAGAATGAGGAGTAGGCAACTTTTACCATCATCTACGGCCTGGTCCAGCGAAACTCATGAATTTACTTGCCTAAACGAACAAGTATTAGTTTTAATCAGAGTTTATTCTCTTGAGAGTTTGAATTTGTGTGTAGATCTCAGAAAAACGTTGCTGTAGCTCAACAACCAAAGTGTTACTACTTTCGTACAAGAAGAAAACTCTGGTGACTTACTGTTGCAGATGTAAACCAACCTGTTGTTTTGCCATCAGAATGTCAGAGAGGTCGCATCCCTGAGATAGACCAGCATTAATCATACATAGACGATTTCGCTTTGGTCGCGGTGATGCGTATCTGGAGTTGCAATAGATAGCAGAATTACCTAGTCAGTATCAACTTCCCGGAAAAGATTTTTTCTTATGCAGATGAATAATCGTGTTTTGTTCGAAGCAGTACACAAAAGATACATCACTTAACAAACAGAAGTGATTTTGTATAGGTTATGTATAGAGTCTTTTTGCATCCGCACACAAACTTTTCTGGTAACTGCATGCTGTTCAATTATTCTCGCAGTTCATCTGCTGAGAATTTGGTGCTTGCAGTTGTCAATCAGCGCTGTGGCAAGGTACCCCGAGGGTTACCGTTTCAAAGGCAGATGCTGTTTAACATTTTGAGCATAGACGGAAAATTTTTCTTGATATTTTCTTTTTTTGCGCTTTAAAGACGATACACTATTTACGGTAGTCTTATTACAACCGAGAACAACTTCGCCTTCTGTGAGCAGGCAATCTCAAAAATGTAAAGGAAAAACTCCCATGTTACGTGTTACTACATTCCATTCCATTTAGCAGGCCAAACGTTTTCAATGAAATTCATTTCAGTTTCATGCCGCAGCAATTTACAGAGTGTGAGAATACCAGTTTTAGAAGCCTTATGTCTCGAGGCTGCGAATGGGTATATGCAGAACTAGAAACTTTTACACTTTGCAAATCTGAGACAGTGCATAATCGCAGCGTAGTATAATTACGGATTTTTCCAGAAGAGTAAAGCAACTTACTCCCAATCATTTAGTGTTGATGAATCTCTGTCTTGTGTAGGATCAACGAGAACGTCGTCAAATCGGAATAATCGAGCTTCAATGACAGCAATCCACAAAAACAGTGCAAGGAGTGGTAGGCAGGCCTTCATTTTGTTATCACCTTAAGAGACATGCACTTTACTCTTGGTAGAGCTTATCACTTCGTAATATGCGAAAAAAGATAGATGTAGTGAAAAAAAGTTCCAGAATACATATATTGCGGAAATAAGATGAGATAGAGGTACAACTGCGGAAAAATTTGGTGTGTATACTTACGAAATGATATGGCTTTAGCCATTATTGTAGTTCAGAATAGTTTATAAAACGTTACAATTTTGCATTCGACACACTATAAGCAAGTTATAGTTTGTTAGATGCAAACTTAACCTGCAATTCGCCTTTCTCATGCGATGCACTTATAGTTATAGTTTTCTCTAGTACATAACTGTAGTAAGCTGTACTGTAAGTGCATCGAATAGCAAGGGCGTTATATTGACCGAAGGAATCGTCAGTGAAATTTTCCGCATTTTCTGCAAAGGAGTAAGGCATGAGTCTGTTACGTTTGCAACGCTGGAAAACCATAATTCAAGCTGCTCGAAAATAAAGGAGCCAATAGTATCTACAAATTTACTATGGATATCCACACCATAGCCGAGATAGACCGATCTACGACTCCCCGATGCCTCAGCATTTGTCACTCTTCGTCCATTGTTCTCAAAAAAGCCAACCAGCTATTTAGTTTTGATAGCAATTATGAAACAAATTTAATGAAGACGGAAAGACGGAATATACAGGGCTTATCAAACGCAGTGTCGGTTGCATCAGCATCTCCACTCCCGCGCTGCACTCTTCGTCTCTTCCGCAAACATGCTCTCTAATCACTCCTCAATTGAGGCTCCGCCTTTCCCACGCTCGCCCTGGGAAAGTGATTAGAGAGCATGTTCGCGGAAGAGAAGCAGAGTCCAGCGCGGGAGTGGAGATGCTGATGCAAGGGACACTGCGTTTGATAAGTGTATGAAATAGAGAGTAAACTCATGTTTGTTTTGAAGCTGTTTGAAGAAATTATTAAAGTCAAGAAAGAACAGTATTATTGGGCATCTAAGTTTTGAAAATTGAATTGTTTAATACTAAATCCTCTAACTAAGCAAAAGCAAAACAGTCCCAAAAGCAAAACTTCGTTGAAAGTGGAAAGCCTTTATCTCCGGAATCGCACTACTCACCAGTACCTACAAAGTGCAACTAGCAAAACTGAAATATCCAGTTTGAAGTTTTCCCAAATTATGCTAAAATTCTTACCATAAAGGTGACGAGCGAAAGGTGCCATCTTGTCTTGTGTTACATCATAGTGAAAGCAAAAAGTGAGAAAGTGTCTAATGATGTAAGAAGATGGCACAAGCCAGCGAAGTGACATCTGTATGGTATACGAATTTCCAATTGATAGAGTACGTCATTTTCCCTAACCAGCCCCTCGCTCTCCGCTACAGCTATGGTCTTCTAAAAGAAACATTCGACTTCGAGTCTTTGTAATCTTGAAAGCTTGAGGAAGTCTTCCGAGTTTGCAGTTGAAAACCAGCTACTGAAACAACCTCAGAGGTGACAGAGATGCTAGCCTCGATGCGAAAATTGCAGGTATACTGCTTGAATGTAATGCTGTTGACTATGCACGGTGTATGCTGGGCTCGCTGCTAATGCTTTTACCAGCTCACTGATATGCGCATTTTAAGTCGATTCCGTTTTTTGGAGCAGTCTATCTCACTTCCAGCTTACGCAGCGCATTCTGATCTCTATCTCAATCATTTTTGATTTTGTCCCTGATGCATTGTAATCATAGTGTAAGGAATACCTCAGGAATATTGCAAGATATGTTGAAGTGAGATAAAAAGCAACCCACTAACAATAAGTAGCGAGTCGAACGAGCCCTCATCTAATTATGAGTTCAAAGATACGGTCGAACCGGACTTCTCTTCGTCATGTCAAGAACTAGAAAGGAAGGAGAACAAAATTGTATAAAAGTGATGAACTTCAGGAAGGTGTGGGATTGTAAATTCTCTTCGTCACAGGTTCAGAAAGAACGCGATAGCATTTTTTTTCCAAGAACCTTACATGCAATGCGTAACGCAAATTCTCCAGCTTATCACAAGTCACCGCTGCTGATCTCTTCCCTCTCATAGTAATGATTTCGTCAAACAATGAAGAATTTTCGATAAGTTGGTATAAAATAAAAGCTGGTCAAGTCTGGTTATGATCAAGTGGATGTGCACCTCGTCCAAAGCTATGGCTCGGGTTGAACCATCGCTCTGTGATTAATGGTTGATCCGACAAGGGAATGGTCAGAAGTCCAAGTGGCCAACCTAAAGAAGCTGCACACCAGTGGATGCAACATAGAGCGCTGAAAATCTGTTTTCATTGTTTGCCTGACCCCCCCCCCCTCCCTGTGGACGAATCATGCGCCATTATGATGCACAGAAATGATGTATGCAAAGTAATTTGGCCATGTTGAGCCACGTATGGCTTGATGCTGGGCCGAAACCATGAGCTATGTTGCTCTATACTGCCCACACCTAAGGATGAGCTGAAAAGGCAGTAATGTGCTTTATTCCGCAATTACGTATCAGGACGCTGCATAAGTTCTATCCTATTCAAATTTTCGAATTCAATCATAAATTCTTTCAAGATCAGCTTTTTTCCATAACCTTAGTTTCTGTGTGTTGAGCAGTTCTTTCGCAATCGAAGAAATACTAGCTCTTGCAAAAAAAAGTGTTAAAGAAGAAGCAAGAACTCAAAAGCTTCACAGCGTTCTTCTTCAAACTTGTCTTTTTTGACATTACGATGCTCCCTTATGAGAACTGACTGGCACATTAGGTGAAAACATGGATAGATGGAGGAAACTTCTAAGATTGTTATACATCTTAATGCGCATAGGATCATCGGCCGAAAATTGGCCCGAATAAAAACGAAGCCTTTTTTCACCACGTTCTAGTGCATGTATGTATGCTCTCAAATTATGAAAGTTTAACACTTACTGCGAGGGATGAGAACTAACTGACGGCTGGGCTCTGCTAGCTCTTGCTTTACTCTAGCATTCCTAACATTACATCGACTATCTATTTACAGAAAGTTATTGCTTGTGGAGCTTTTCAAAAAATTGTTCTTTAACAACATTTTACTAGCAAGACGTTATTTTACATGAAAATGAGTCTGTGCATATACTGGACTCCTTAAATCCTTATCCCGTCCAATACAAGGAGGACTTGACTTACAAGAGGAGATCACGAAGTCGAAGTGGCCGAACTCTATAAGTTGCATGGAAATAGTGTGAGCTTGGAACGCTAATTCCAAATCCGCCTTGCTTATATGTAGAGCGCTTTTGAGAAGGAAGTTATGAGCATTTTTTGAGGCCAGCAAATGAACTAATGGCCGAGATAATATTAATCTACAGCCTCTCTAGAAAATGAAGCAGCGGCAAATGTCAGGGTACTTCATACAATAAACTCCTTTGCCTAGCATATCAGTCCATCACATTTCGGCATTTGACGTCTATAAAGGCTTTAACGATTCATGTTAGCCTTACCAACACCTCATTTTTTTGCCTCAAAAAATGCTCATAACTTCTTACCTGAATGGGTTCTGCAGATGAGGGAAACAAATTTGGAATCAGCGCTCCAAACTCTCACTAAATGTATGTTTCTTACTGTGGTAGCCACTTTCGACTTCGTGACCCTTCCGCCTGCAATCTTGTAAGACTGGGAATTTTATTGAATATGATATGATTGTAAAGGGCAAGAAAAGCGCTTTTTAATGGTGCAATTAATATCGCGTCGGGAGTGAAAATCTCCTAAAACGGCTGCTTCAAACTCAATGCAAAAAATCGGACAGAACTTATGCAGCAGCCTAGTATGATTTTCTGCAGTAAAACTCTCATAATTCGTCTAAAAAATTTTTGATAGCGGTTTATACTGCACCCTATTATATGCAATTTGTATGGATTGACCACTTCAACTTCTGGCCATTTACTTATGAGCAAATGAAGAAATGGCAAACATTGATCTGTCAAATTAGTGGAGTACCTACCCTAAGATGGCAACAAGTCCCATACTAATGTCGCTGCATATATGATACAGGTATGCTTGTAACATGCATAATTCTATTAATTTCCAGCTTAGCCACTAAGCCACTAACAACTCCAGTTTCACTTTTGTTAATACGTGGAGGGAAAATTCTTTAATCGTTTCACGAAAAAGTTTCATAGTCCATTGCATCTCCTATAATCAAGGTTGGACCTCAATATCTTTGCTTCCGCGACCGCTGAAAGAGAGCCTCATTGTGTAATTGTTAGGCCGTAGCGCAGAGTTAGCTGTTTTTATGAAAGTACCTTTTTTGTTGAATCTAGTTCAGGTCAAAGTAGTGAATAAAGAAAAATATGTTATCAGATGCCTTCTTCATGGATGCATGAAGAATACAGAGATAGGACTAAAAGCCGAATCTACGTTTAGCAGGGAGAGTACGAATGGTAGCGCTTAAAAGGATTCTGTTGGTCCAAAAAGCGAGCGAATAGGAATGGTAGGTTTGAAGCGCTTACAAATCTGCATTAGCTTCCGAGCAACATAATTTTCCAGGTACTATAAGATACAAAACCAGAAATCAAGAAGGAAACACACAGTGAAATGAGATTATTGTTTCTTCCACAACTTCAACAGCGAGAGCGAAAAGGGTAGAGGGCCAGGCATACTTCATGCGATTTCATTCGCAACGTGATTTGGCAATTCGCCAGAAGTCTTTGGATCCAACGCTAGCAAACTGCACATGCGTAGTATGTATAACTTACGTGGATTGCTTGACCCTATCTTCTGTACATTTAAAATGTACTTACAATGAGCTATGGACAGTTGTAATATTGCCAAACCGCGTCGCGACTCAAATCGCGTGAAGTATGCCCGGCCCTTGCGGCGGAAGACGAGAGGGGCTAAACTAGAAGTGAAAGTGCAAAAAGCGATACGCTGAAGACCCAGAAGAGGGGGGTGTATTTAACAAAAATTACTGTGCTTGTACAAATAGACACAAAGAAGAAAGAGTGCTTTCAATTGGTATCTTTACTTATTGATAGATCTCTGAACAAGGAAAGAATC